TTTCTCTTCCTCCTCAATTTTGTTTCGAATATTTACTCTCTACAACAGAAATTGACATTATAAACACTCTTTTTAACCATCTTAGGCTTCCATTAGTATAAGTAAATTTAAAAGAACAAAATGCTAGTGCTTTTAGCATTTACCTTCTCAACATATTGCTCCCTTGTAACCAAACCAACGGTTTCCTTCTTAAATGCTGTCTCAAGAATCTGAAATATTCATTCAAGAAAATTACCAATCAACAACAATAGTTCTGTCTATACAAAACTTGTTATCTTTATATATGTTAACGCACCTACTGGTACCACAGAAATAGTAAGAACAAGGAAAAAAAAATTAAATGAATAGTTGCACATTTTTCAAGCTTTTCTTCCATTTGTAAAGCAGAGTACACAAAACCAATATAAAAAAACCCCTCAGATTGATGAAGCTGAAGTACATGCGCATGGGGAACTTCAAAAGTTAGGTTTCAAAGACAAACCTCAGAAGTACTTGACCCAAATTGGAGGAGACCTGGCTGGCCTTTTTCAGTGGCTGACTTGGTTTTGAGCTCTTGAATTTTTTGGCGCTCAGCTTCTCTTTGCTTTTCGAGTCTTCGGATCCTCACGGCATCTTGGGCTGTGCCCACATATCCATCTCCCATGCCCGACATCTTTTCCTTTCTCTATGTTCACCTCCAAGCCCTCCTTCTCTTGTCCTACACTTCGAACTGATAGAAGACTTTCAAGATCAATAATCTCAATCAAAATGGTTCTCTTCAATAAAACAACTCCTACCCATATAACTATTAGACATCTGACATGTTGTACAAATATGTTTATAATTATTTTAATAACTAAAAAACCAAAATGCCATCAAAATTTCATCAGTGTCGTTGGGGTTTTCTTTTCCCCTTTTTGTTTTCTTTGGAATTTCCCAATCCGTTTCGTTAGGGCAAGAATGCAAAATTTATTAAGCGCACAAGATGAGAGACTCAACATCCCTAATTGCTACAATTTTGTGTGGAAAGTGTTCAATAAGACTGAAAAATATGTAAAGAATCATATAACCATAAACAAGGAAACTGGATTGCAAGTGAAAAAACTCGAGCAAAACGAACATACATTAAATCGTAAATTTAAAAATATCAAAAATAAAAAGAAGATTAAATACCTGGGTGGGATTGAGAAAGAAGAAGATGAGAGGAATTGAGGAAGAAGAAGACAAACCGATTACAAGGTAAAGGAATGAAGAAGTGAATAAGCTTGGGAGGACCCTAGCCTACTTTATTTAAACGGTGTGTTCTAGTCTTAGAACACCTCTTTCTCCTTGCATGTTCTATAATCAGCTGGGCTTTATGATAATCGGCGAATTTTTTTATTATTTTAATTTTCTCAAATGGGCCAATATATTTGAAGATTACCCGATACATAAAAACTCTTTAATAATATCTATAGGACAATACTTGGCTCCTGATGTATCAGGAGCCATTCCTCCTAAAACATGACGTGGACACTTTTAAAAACCAAAACGTGTTTTGTTTGTTTTTTTTTTTTTTTTTTTTTTTTTTTTTTTTTTTTTTTTTTTTTTTTTTTTTTTTTTTTTTTTTTTTTTTTTTTTTTTTTTTTTTTTTTTTTTTTTTTTTTTTTTTTTTTTTTTTTTTTTTTTTTTTTTTTTTTTTTTTTTTTTTTTTTTTTTTTTTTTTTTTTTTTTTTTTTTTTTTTTTTTTTTTTTTTTTTTTTTTTTTTTTTTTTTTTTTTTTTTTTTTTTTTTTTTTTTTTTTTTTTTTTTTTTTTTTTTTTTTTTTTTTTTTTTTTTTTTTTTTTTTTTTTTTTTTTTTTTTTTTTTTTTTTTTTTTTTTTTTTTTTTTTTTTTTTTTTTTTTTTTTTTTTTTTTTTTTTTTTTTTTTTTTTTTTTTTTTTTTTTTTTTTTTTTTTTTTTTTTTTTTTTTTTTTTTTTTTTTTTTTTTTTTTTTTTTTTTTTTTTTTTTTTTTTTTTTTTTTTTTTTTTTTTTTTTTTTTTTTTTTTTTTTTTTTTTTTTTTTTTTTTTTTCCTCTTTCCTCTTCCCCCAACCTTTTGGCTGGTTTTAACTTCAGCCTCCCCAAAGCCACTGCCACTCCTGTTCCGAATCCACCCTCATCACCAACCTTGCCACTGAATCGATAAGGCAGCCCACCGACTTTCTTTTTCTTCTCTCTCTCTCTCTCTCTCTCATTTCTCCATCACTTCTACTCTGGCTGCAAATTCAAAAACCAAAAAAGAAAAGGAAAAAAAAAGAAGAGGAAAGAGGCAAAAAAAAAGAGGAAAAAAAAAACATACGTGTTGGTTTTTTAAGAAGCCCACGTCATGTTTGAGATCAGGAGCCATGCATTGTCCATATCTATATATCTATATATATAAAGTAGAAGGCAGAGAATGGTAAAATATTCAAAATACCAAAAATGTCTTTGGTTAATGCAAACATTAAGAATTAAAATTATTAATTAAATAATATGGTAAATTCACACTTTTTTATATTAAAAAAATTAAAATTAAAAGAAAAATCAGATAATGAATCCTATTTTTATGGAACACAACTACCAATTATCTTTTTTAATTCTAAAATAAATTTAAAATTAATAAAAAAAATAGCCTCTCGCAGGCGGGGAAGAGCGTGCAAAGAGGCTAGTATTTTTAAATTGTTATATAACTAAGGGGAAATTAGAGAAAAATAAGAGGAATAGAAAGACAAGAGAATTTGTTCTCTAAACTTGTTATCTTCTTCTTTGATAATCACCTATTTATAGGCTTACAATGATAGGAAGCTAACCCTCAAATTATGAGTTAAAGGCTACTAATTACATAGGTTAAAATATATCAAAAGGTGTAGGTAATGAATGTAATGGTGGTCATCCACAATCTATGTATTTATAAAACTTCCCTTTGGATGTCCACCAGACATGGAGTATGCCTCGTTAAAAACCTTGCCAGTAAAACTCAGTAGGACAAAAATTGGCCAAAGGGAAAAAGAGTACATACAATATATAACATACAACTATGTGTATAGAACACTGACACGCGTGCGACAATGCCTCGTTAAAACCTTCCCAAGAAAAACTCAGTGATACAAAAACCTAGACGAAGGAAAAAGAGTACAATGTGTGAAGATCTTATGAATGACACGCTCCCCCTCATGCTAACAAAATATCTTTAAGCCATATTGTTGACCATTGTTTGTACCATATATGACCCTCCACTCATCCAATGACACGTGGATCAGAGAAACTCCCCAAGTGCCCAAGGCTCTGAACAATCAGCATCGGCTACCGATGATATTGCCTCAAAAGCAGCAAACGGTCGCTACAGACCCAGCATTGTCTACAATCGGTATCACCTACCGATTCTGCAGAATCGACCTCGAAGCACCCGCTCGAAATATCTAAGGACTCGTGTCAACCTCATAGGGCCCTCCCACGAGTCCCACATCGAAATTAAGTACCAAGAGCATACAAAATGCCCTCTATAAATAGGCCCCTTCACTACAATACAAGGGTAAAACTTTTCAGCTTGACTTTTATACTAATATATTTTCAACAGCAAAAGCTCTTAGAAAACAAACTTACTTCGGCATCGGAGGGTCTTAGGCTGGTTCCACACCGGTTCCATAGACCTTACGAGTCTTGGCTTCCTTCTATTCAGGATCTGCATCCAAGGACAGGAAGGATCACCATCTAGAACTCAATCGATCTCTAAAGATCGTCCACATCACTTGTAAGTTGCACTCATCTCTATCTGTTCAAGTTTTAGTGCCAACAGATTGGCGCCGTCTGTGGGAATCGCTTATCGATTAACCCATATCTCAAAAGCTCTGAGACCAAAAAATGAATCCATCTTCGGCCCTCCCTGCCGATGGCCCCATCCTCGGCATCGGTGGTGAGCCAAGCCTAGCTCCTTTGCTTCAGACCCCACCAACAGAAACCCCTGCCCAGCCAAACACCCTGGAAGCTCGCATGGAGACCCTACAGCAGGACATGGCGAGAATGCAGGAGCACAACGATATCCTCGCCTCTAAACTGAATGACACCCAGAGGCAACTGCATGATCAACAAACACACTCCACCCAATTGCATAACGGTTTGGAACGAACCATGCAGCTTCGGCAGGAGAAGTCGTTTAAAAGCGTGCGGAAGCCCAATACCCAGGACAGAGGGAAACAGAAAGCCGCAGGCAGGCCATCTGCCTCCCGGAGGCTGTTCGTGCCCTCCCCAAAAGAGCGTCGTCCGGAATATCAAGTTTACTCCGATTGCCGTGATAGGATCAACGATCGACGCAAAGAGCGACAGCCTTCGCCCATCCCGATCCAAGCAAAACTCAACGATCGACGTCTGGAGGCGCTTGGACCAAAATCCCCCGTACGCCGAAGGTACGACGCGATCGGTCTGGAAGAAACGGACGAATCAGACTATGTTCCAACTTCACCAGGGACCACGATCTCCCACCGATCGGCAGGACATTCAAAAGGGCGCCATAGCCATCGAACGAATCGGGAAGACGATCAGCATACCAGAGGCTATGAGAGAAGCCCGAGCCGAATGGCAGGCCAAGATGTTCAGGGCCACCACGCTAGCCGGGGCATAGGGAAGGAGACAAGGGAACCCTTCGGTGACGATCTTCCCTCTACCGATCCTACCATCCGTCTCCTCCTCTAGAAGATGAACCGAATTGAGGAGGAACAGAACCAAGCTCGGACACCAACATGGGGAAAAGTACAACCAGGACCATTCACCAGTAGCATCCGAACGTTCAGACACGAAAAAGAGGTCCAAGCACTACGAATATCATTCTATTCGAGGGTGGAAGACCCTGTTACTCACATTCATACCTTCCAGTCAGCTTTGGGTTGCAAATGGCTAACGGACGAAGGCTAATGTTTACTATTCCCGTCGACCCTGACCGGAGCTGCTCTGAATTGGTTCTACCGATTGGAACCAAGTACGGTTGACTCATTCGATCAGTTGAAGCAAACCTTCCTCAACCATTTTATGATTCAAACCGATCGCCTGTATTCCACCGATGACCTCTATATCTTTCGGCAGCAAGACGATGAGCCCCTAAGGGAATATGCGGCCAGGTTCAGCCACGAATATTCCCGATGTCCAGAAACTGACGATAGGGCAGCCTTCGATGCCTTCAAAAGCGGCATTCGGTCGTCTCAGTTTCGCTATCTGGTCCACAGCAGCAACTGGACCACCTACGCCGAGCTGATGAAGCAGGCAGCTATCCACGCCAAGGCCGAATATTTCAACTCCAAGGGATCGGCTTCGGCTACACCAAGCAAAACAACAACGGCCGATCGGCCTTCGACACAGAGCCATGACCAATTTCCGACAAATCAGACTGTCAGTCAGGCCCCCTACCGAACGGCACCCCCAGCCTCTGCTCCTTACGAGGCCCGAAACAAACGGAAAGACCACTTCCGGAATCGGCAGGACAGCAGCAAAAGGGGCAAGGACTCCAGCAGGCGAAGCGACTTCGGAGATCCGAAGAAGAATCGGTCAGAGGAAATTTTCACCTTACTCAACACCACTTACGAGCATGTCCTCCTGACAGAAGGTGAGATGATCTCGAAGCCGAACAACCGAAAGCTTCCTCGGCGGAACGAGAAAGACACCGGTGTATTCTGCCGATACCACCAGTACAATGGCCACGATACAGAATTGTGCATCGCCCTTCGAAAGATAGTCGAACGCCTCATCAACGAAGGCAAGTTGGATCAGTACCTAAACACCAAAACGGCTTCGGATCAACCCTCGAATCGGCAGATTAATATGATCAGTGGAGGGGCACCCATCGCCGAAACCAGCAACCGATCTGTCAAAAACTATGTTCGTGCCGTTCGGCATCCCCAGATCCTCAGCGTAGAGGGAGGACGCAATGACAAGACCCGGCGAATCGGTTGGGAACCTATTACCTTCTCTGAAGAGGAAGAACGAGGCGTCATCTTCCCCCACTCCGATCCCATGATCATACGAGCTGATATTTCAGATTTCGATGTGGGCCGAATCCTCATTGACACCGGCAGTTCTGTCAATGTACTATTCATCGACGCTTTTAATGCCCTCGGCATAGATCCTCAGCATCTGAACAAAGATATCACCCCCCCTCCTAAGCTTCTCTGGTGATGTGATCGAACCGAACGGCAGTGTCCTGCTTCCGTTCGCAGTCGGCACCATTCCCAGAAGAACGGTCATCTATACCCACTTTCTGGTGTTCGATTGCCCAACAGCATATAACGCCATCATCGGCAAGACGGCGCTCATCAAGATGAAAGCCATGCTGTCACCACACATGCTCATCCTCAAGTTCCCCACCCATGCTGGCGTAGGCAAAGTGCGAGGAGATCAGTTGAGTGCACGGACATGTTACGTTTCGGCAACAAAGGAATCGGCAAGAGCTACGCTTCGCGAAGCATACCCAGTTTCTACCAATGTAACTATACCGAACGGCAGGGGACGGACACACCGGATGATCCTCGAGATGAGGCCGTCACCCCCACAAGCACAACCCATTGAAGATCTAGAATCGGTCACCCTCTCCGAAGCACAGCCCGACCGACAAATTCGAATCGGCACCACCTTGAGTTCGGCACTACGGGCCGATTTCATCGCCTTTTTACGCGCCAATACAGAAGTCTTCGCCTGGTCATATAATGACATGCCTGGCATCGCCCCAAGTGCCATCAGTCATAAGCTCAGCATTTGCCCCACTTTCAAACCCATAAGACAGAAACGGCGGGCCTATGACGCCGAGCGATACGAAGCAATGAGGCTCGAGGTACAGAAACTGAAGACAATTGGCTTCATCCAGGAAGTCACTTACGCAATTTGGTTGGCCAATTCGGTCTTGGTCAAAATATCGAGCGGCACCTGGAGGATGTGTCAGGACTATACCGATTTAAACAAGGCTTGCCCCTAAGACAGTTTTCCTTTGCCAAGGATCGATCAGATGGTGGACGCCACAGCAGGCCATGAACTTCTCAGCTTCATGGACGCATACTCGGGCTACAACCAGATATTCATGAGCCCTGCCGATCACGAACATACAACATTCATCACCGACAAAGGACTTTACTGCTACAATGTTATGCCGTTCGGCTTGAAAAACGCTGGGGCAACATACCAGCGATTGGTCAACAAAATCTTCTATGAACTCATCGGCACATCGATGGAGGTTTATATGGACGACATGCTGGTCAAAAGCAAAACAACCGATTCTCATCTCCACAACCTCTCCCTCATGTTCAGTGTCTTAAAGAAGTACAACATGCGTCTCAACCCAAGCAAATGTGCCTTCGGCGTCTCTTCAGGCAAATTCCTTGGCTTCATGATCAGCCAAAGAGGCATTGAGGCCAACCCAGATAAAATCAAGACATGCAGACACCAAAGGCACAGAAAGATATTTAGAGTCTCACTGGGCGCGTCGCTGCTTTGGCCAGATTCATATCAAAAGCTACCGATCGGTGCGCCCCATTCTTCAAGGCCCTCAAAGGAAGCAAACGGCAGATTGTCTGGACTGCCGAATGCGATCGAGCCTTACAAGACCTCAAGGTCTACATGAGCAGAGCGCCCCTACTATCCACCCCTCTTCCCGGCGAAGATTTAACTCTCTACCTATCGGTATCGGCAACGGCATTGAGTTCCGTACTCATTCGCAAGCCGAACGGCATAGAGCTTCCAATTTTCTATACTGGCCATGCTCTGCAGAATGCCGAGATTCGGTACCCCGAACTGGAGAAGCTCGCCTATGCTCTCATTCTCTCAGCTCGCAAGCTTCGGCCATATTTTCAGGCTCACAGTATTGTCGTTCTCACCAACTAGCCTCTACGCCAAATACTACAGCGACACGAGACGTCCGGTCGGCTAGTCAAATGGGCCATCGAACTTAGCAAATTCGACATCCGCTATCACCCTCGGCCTGCCGAGAAGGGCCAGGCCGTGGCTGATTTCATCTCCGAATTGACTACTTCCGAAAAGGGAGGTCCGGAAGATATCGCCCCCGAGCCGGCTTCGACAGCATCAGTCAGCCACCCGACCGAAGGGACCTTTAATCCATCAATTCCCCTATGGACTCTCTACGTAGACGGCTCGTCCAACCGACAAGGCAGCGGAGCGGGCTTGGTACTAAAAGCCCCCGACCAGACAACCATCGAATATGCCATCCGTTTTCAATTCCCGGCTTCCAACAACGAAGCAGAATACGAAGCTCTGTTGGCAGGCCTTCGCCTCGCCAAGGAAATGGGTGCTCAACAGCTAAAGATATGCAGCGACTCACAACTTGTCGTTAATCAGATACTGACCAATTCGAAGCCAAGGACACTTCAATGGCTGCCTACTTAACGCATGCCCGCCGATTGCTCCACCACTTTGCCGCGTATCAAGTTCGGCAGATCCCCAGGTCCGAGAACAGCCACGCCGATGCCCTGTCACGCATGGCATCGGTAATCGACGACAACATAGGTCGTCATGTGCCAATCGAAATCCTCTCTCGGCGTAGTACCTCTGACACCGAGGTACATGCCATTTGGCAGGATGCAAGTTGGATGGATCCAATCCACGCATTCCTCGACAACGGGACGCTACCGGACAACAAGGCCGAGGCTAAGACTCTCCGCCGCCGATCGGCATGATACTTAATTTTGAATCAGATTCTCTATCGACGTGGTCACTCTTTACCGCTGCTTCGGTGTATGACCCCACAGCAAGGTAACTACGTTCTACGAGAAATCCACGAAGGAGCTTGCGGGGACCATTCTGGCGCCCGATCTCTAGCCTTCAAGACCATTCGGCAAGGGTATTATTGGCCGACTCTCCATGCCGATGCCACCAAACTCGTCCAGAGGTGTGATCATTGCCAGCGTTTCGGCTCCGTTCCAAAACTGCCTACCGAACCGCTCACTTCGATTGTCAGCCCGTCGCCCTTCGCTCAATGGGATTTAGATCTTATCGGCCCCATGCCCCAGAGGAAGGGACAACTTAAATTCGCAATTGTCGCCATTGACTACTTCACAAAGTGGACCGAGGCCGAAGCTCTGGCGACCATCATCGCGGCCAGGGTTGAGCATTTCGTGTGGAAAAACATAATTTGCCGGTTCGGCCTCCCGAACGCAATCATCACCGACAACGGTAAACAATTCGACTCTTCTCAGTTCAGGCACCTATGCCACTGATTCAACATCAACTTGTTCTTCGCATCTCCAGCGCACCCACAATCGAACGGCCAAGTAGAGGCCATTAACAAGATCATCAAGAAGACACTGAAGAAGAAGCTTGGGGCAGCTAAGGGAGCCTGGCCCGATTTACTCCCAGAGGCGTTATGGGCCATCAACACCTCTTACCGACGATCAACTGGAGAAACGCCGTTTTCCCTTGCTTTCGGTACCGAAGCCGTTGTCCCAGTCGAAATCAACGCACCCACGTGCCGAATGGCATCTTATACGCCAGAGCAAAACGAAATACTGCTTATGCTTAACCTGGACCTCATCGACGAACATCGTTCCCAGGCTCAGCTTTGGAATGCCGCCTATAAACAAAGGACTTCCCGATACTACAATTCGCGCGTCAAACGCCGATCGTTCAACGTGGGGGACTGGGTTTTACGCAAAATCTCTCTCGCCACCAAAGACCCCAAAGACGGTACCCTTGGCCCCTCATGGGAAGGTCCTTACGAGGTCGTTACCATCTGCCAATCAGGAACTTACTGATTACGTGGTACTGATGGCTATACCCTCGACCACCCTTGGAATATAGAGCATCTCAAATATTACTACAAGTGATTGCACCTTCGGTCATCACCTTTGTACAAGTGATTTTACCTTCGGTCATCACCTTTGTACAAGTGATTGCACCTTCGGTCATCACCTTTGTATTCGGCATACATTTTCATATTTCTTATTCTATACATACAAGCATTGTCTCAAACAAACGGCACTATATTCAAAATATATTACCTACGGCATGCATACATACATGAACACAGAAATTATTCCATTAAACTGAATGCAAATGAACTTTAGATAAAATAGCCACAAGAGGGCTCTTTGTTTCAACACAATGCCATTCGGCTTGTTTCAATTTTTTTTTTTTACATTTCCAAAATGTGCAAAAAAACATAACGCTGCTAAGGGGCAGTAGTTTCGGCATCAGCATTCATCGGTTCGGCATTCGTTGATACTTCGGCATTTGGTAAGACGGCTGCAGCGGGTGCAGGATGGTTCTCTTCTTCCTCATTGCTAGATTCGGTGTCATCGGATTCTTCAGGCTCGGCATCCTCACCCTTGTAAGCCTCCACCATCTCTTCGGTTACGCCCTCCGGCAGCGGTGGTGGGTCCCGGAGGAAGTTCAGATTCAGCTTCTTGTCCGCGTTGTAGTGCTTGAATCGGTAGACAAGGTCGTCACATTGCTCCATGACTTCCTTGTCCACCAGTAAGGTGAACTCTTCCGTCGATCGGTAGTCAGCAACGGCCTTTGCCTTCGCCTCTTCCACCTCCTTGGCATGCGACCGTTCGGCCGCATCCATCGCCACCTCCACCGTCGCCCTGGCATCGTGCGCTGCCACCACCTCCAGTTTAGTCGCCGCGAGCTTCGATGCAAGTTCTGCAATCTTAGCAGCGTTCTCCTCGGCACGCCGATCAGCCTCCTGGAGCATCTTACCGGCATCGGCAATCTTCGAACGGCCCTCCTCGAATTTCTTCTGGTACCGCTCGGCAGCATTCACGACTCGCTTCACGCAGAGCCACATTTCCATATCAGCCTGCAAAAACCCAACGTTTGGTAAGTACCGACCCACGAACACTTGGAAACAAAACAATTTCTATCACACTTACTGCAGCCTGAAGCAGGAAAGCTCGTCCGGTCTGCTCACGCAACGTCTTCATCGACAGTTACTCTATCTCGCAATGTTGACCGGCCCCTCCTCCCCCTCCCCTTCGTCATCGGGAATCAGCACGGAGGTCCCCTCTTTCGGCCCCCTAGGTTTCTTCGGCATCGGTGTTGTGTCGAGGGCACCCTTGATTTGCCTCTTGCCCGTCACCTGGAGGTGGACCTCCCGAACGGCCTCGGCTTCGGCCACCCTCTTTTCACGGCGACGATCGGCCACCGTCGTCTCATCAGCCGAAGCCCCACCAGACGCCTCTGCTGCCTTCTTCTTCTTCGGCCTCGGCGCTTCATGCCCCTCCAGACGCCGCCTTGTCGCCTCGCTCATTGGCCTCCCACCTGCCACTGCAAAAACAAACAAAACACACGAAGTCAGATAGGAAACGGTAGCTTTAAAAACAGACAAGAAACAACATGCCGAACGGCATCTCTTACTATGCCTTTTTTCTTCTTCCTCCTCCTCCTTCACTCTTCGGTCGTGTTTGGCCTTACCGATCAAGCCCGCCTTGAACAGATTCTGAAAGTAGAGCAACTCCTTAAAGAAGCGATCTTCTTCGGCAACCTTCACACGAACATGCTCGATCGCTCCACTTCACGGATCGGAGCCGCAGGCCGTTTCAAGGACACTGAAACAAAAATGCAAACGGTCAAAAAAAAAGAAACAAAAATGCAAACGGTAAAAAAAAAAAAAAAGAAAAGAAAAAAAGAAAAAAAGAACAAAAAACCCAACATTCCTGCCGAAGGGCAGTTTCTATCCTACCGACTGTCTGAAAGGTCGTAGGGATCCACCTCTCTACGATAACCCCTGGTGCCGATTCCCAGGCACCAGACACAATTACTCGACGCTTGCGCCAGGTCTTCTGGGAGCTCGGCACCCCAACCACAAAGTGCCCACGCTGCCCTGCCGAAAGACAGTTGGACTGAACCCATCCCCCTTGGTCAGCACTCTTCGCCCTCGTCACACTGTACAGTTGGGCAAACTGCTCATAGCTTGGCTCTCCTTCGCCCGCTATGCCGAACGCAGTGATCATTCCGAGCAATGTAATCCAAAAGTTCGGATTATATTGCCCCGGCGCATATCCGAGCGCCGCCGGATCTTCTGCACCAAATGCCTCAACGGCAGCCGAAGCCCATGTTTAAAAACATCGGTGAAGAAGATCACTCCCTTGTCATTGTCACTCAACGACTCTAAGGGCTCCGGAATTCGCATCACTACCGATTCCGGAATATTGTACTCCGCCCGAATCTTAGCCAGCTCAGCCTCGGTCAGTGTGTTCGGCTCTAAGTGATCTACCCCGAACACAAGTTCCTTCGGCTTCGCCATCGGGATCCGTTGCCTGCCAGTGACAACCCTCAACACCCATTCACCTGGCGCAGCAACGGACATGTCACCTGCGCCGGCCTCACGACCCGAAGTCGAAGGCTCACTACCTTGAGGCAATCCACACGAAGTGCCATCAGCTTCGGTGCGCACTCCTGCCCCCTCCAATATCTCACAACTTGAAGAGCTACCAGAATCGGTACTCTCACTCCCCTCGGACAAACTCCCCAAGGACGATTCGTCCTCGTATGCCCTCGGACTACGCCTACTCTCGGATTCGGTATCTGACATCTACAAACACAAACGAAGGGACACTAAGGGCCATGCTAGAATCAAAATTCCTATTCTACCACCTAAACAACTATGTTCATGCTTGTTCATGCTTGTTCATACTTGTTCATGCTTTATTCATACAAAAATTCATCGAATTCAACACTTTGATTCATCAAAAATCATAAACACAGCAACGTACCTTGTTCACACGGTGGTTCAAGCACGCCGGAAATCGCCTCCGCCTTGATCAACCTCGCCGAAAATCGCCCGCTCAGCCCTCACACGGTTGCCAGAAATCGCCTCTCACAAGCTCCGTTTGCTCTCAAAATCTTCAAGTATTCCAACTATCGTCCCTTTCTTACATTTATAGGATGAACCTAGCATCGGGAAGCGAAGCGACGCATCGGGATATGAAACGACGCGACTCTTCACTGCCATGCCGACACGTGTCACGCATGCAGGGGGAGTCCAACCGTCATCATTCCAAACGTTTCCAATCCTCGCAGACGCTTCCACTTCCCAAATGCTGCAACTCTAGCCACTTTCAAACACAACTCCACTGCCGAACGGCAGGCGCACATTGATGAGTTCTCACTCACCTCTTGTGCTCAGCAAACGCACATTGATGAGTTTTCATTCACCTTTCGTGCCAAACGGTAGGTGTTTCTCAAATCAGACCTCCACACCTCTCGGACCATTCGGTACATCATGCCGTCTCTTTTCCAAGCTCACTCGCTCGGGCACTTGGGGGACTACATGCCACCATCGGCAACAATGATACCATCGAATCCGGATCAGAATGCCGAAGATAGATTCAAGTCCCCAACCGAGAAGTCGCTTCTTAATCGGTAACTTGGGGGACTACTGTTTGTACCATATCTGACCCTCCACTCATCCAATGACACGTGGATCAAAGAAACTCCCCAAGTGCCCAAGGCTCCGAACAATCAGCATCGGCTACCGATGATATTGCCTTAAAAGCAGCAAACGGTCGCTACAGACCCAGCATTGTCTACAATCGGTATCACCTACCGATTCTGCAGAATCAACCTCGAAGCACCCGCTCGAAATACCTAAGGACTCGTGTTAACCTCATAGGGCCCTCCCACGAGTCCCACATCGAAATTAAGTACCAAGAGTATACAAAATGCCCTCTATAAATAGGCCCATTCACTACAATACAGGGGTAAGACTTTTCAGCTTGACTTTTATACTAATATATTGTCAACAACAAAAGCTCTTAGAAAACAAACTTACTTCGACATCGGAGGGTCTTAGGCTGATTCCACATCGGTTCCATAGACCTTACAAATCTTGGCTTCCTTCTATTCAGGATCTGCATCCAAGGACAGGAATGATCACCATCTAGCACTCAATCGATCTCTAAAGATCGTCCACATCACTTGTAAGTTGCACTCATCTCTATCTGTTCAAGTTTTAGTGCCAACAACCGTCTTTCTAAATGTCGTAGTTGGCACTGCTTCCGTGAATCAATCTTGTAATATTATTGGATGCTCCCCCTGAAAAATTACTCCCCTTAATGTCTTTATACTTCTTTGATGATCCAACACAAATGATATTGACCACACATCCATCCTTCACGGAGTGATCTTTGGTAATGCTTGTATAAAACCTGTTGTTGTAGCATCATTAGATGATCCATGTGTGTCGTCATTCATCTAATCCATGTTGAGGTTAGAGTACTAAAAAAATATCTAGGCTATTTTCATAAGCCTTTTATTGTATACAATGGCTTGAATAATTTGATATGCTCTCCAATATCAAAAACAATAAGCTTATATTTATAATGATAAGAGCATTGAAACTTTATATGGTATAATAAGTCATTCATACATATTATTGTATGTTTTGGGAACAATTGCATATGATATTCTTCATGGGTTCTTCTTCATAAGTCTTTAAATATTTTTCATAACTTTAAACATTTGAATATGTTGCAACGTCTTTGAATTTGAATTCAATCAAGGTATTCACTAAGGAAATTTATTCATTTCAAGACGATTGAGTACTTATACTGAGCTTCAGGCTCTTTCACACATTCAAGATTTCTTTATGCAATTTATATATTGCATGACACATTATATCTCTTAGGATTTGTTCCTTTGTATTTTTCAGGAAATTGCATCTGGCGATATGTTTCAAACACTTCAAGAGTTCCAACAAAATTCTTCATATATATACTATAATGATGGTAAACCCATTTCCAGATTTTGGATTATTTATATATCCATGGACTAACATCAAAAAACCCCCTCAAGGTTTGGAGTCCTTCTTAATATGGGTCACCAGGTTTTAATTTCATAATTTTACACCCCATAGTTTTCAAAATGGGCCAATTTACACCGTCTGTTAAGTTCAACGTTAGATTTTCTATTAAATAGGTAACGTGTCTGTTGTGGTACCCACTTTGATGTTGATTTGTAAACAAAAATAATTAAAAAATTCTTTAAAAATATTATTAAATTATATTTTTTTAAACAGAAAAAAAAAAATTTCCCCAATCTCTCTCTTTCTCTCTCCCTGCCCAGAACTTGAAAACCCCACCCACATATCCAACCTATCTCCCTCCCTCTCCCTCCTTCTCTCTACTTCGGTGATGGAGAAGCAGCTGTTGATTTCCTTCTATGCATCGGTGATGAGCTTGGAGAGGCAGTAGGAGGGGATGGCGGAGAGGATGGAGATGGCGGCGGAACTGACGTTCGGATCGGGGAAGTCGAGATCCCATCTTTGTTTCTTCAGATTTTGATAATCAGAACGGTCTTGGAATTTTCAACTTAAAATTGATATTGGGAAAAAGGTTTTTGGTTTCAATTTTGATAGTGAAATTGGCTATAAAGCATTAAGATCCAATTGGTAGGATTTTGGTTAATTTTGATTCTGGGTATAGTAGGTTTAGGAATTCTCAAAATTAGGGTTTAATGTTTTGTCAATTGGGGATTAGGCTCACTGTGAATAATGGGTTGATTTCTTTAGGTGGAACCAAAGAGAAGGTCGTTGCCTGATTACATGGAGAAGGTTCAGAAAGATGCTAATGCTAATATGAGAGCGGTCCTTGTGGATTGGTTGGTGGAGGTTGTAGAGGAATATAAGCTCCTTCCAGACACTCTTCATCTCTCCGTTTCTTATATCGATAAGTATCTATCGATCAATGTGGACAACAACCAGAAGCATCAGCTACTAGGAGTGGCTTCAATGTTCATTGCATCGTAAGCTCACAAATCTTTGAATCTGTCGTCTGATTGGTACAATTGTTTTCTTCTTCTGATGATGTGAAGTTACTATAAGTATTATTCTTACATTTTCATGATTTCTTAATTTATAGGAAATATGAAGAGATTACTCCTCCAAATGTGGATGAACTCTGTGACATAACAGAAAATGGGACCAAGAACAAAACCCTAGGACTCTCCAAAATCTCCCAAACCCCAAATATTTCGTCACTCCAAAATCTCCTTTTGTGGCCTTTGCTCTGCGCCCTCTTTTCTATCTTCCTCCATTTCTTCTCATTCGTCTTCTTCTTCAAGCTTTGTACTCTTCCAAAACCTGAAAACCCATAATACTAAGCATGCCCACATGTCTCTAGAATGAGCTGAATCCGGCTCCTCTCTTGCGAACCCGACCCAGACACAGAGACGGTGAGAGAGGAAGAGAATGAGATAGTGAGTCAAAGAGGGGCGGATATGTGGGTGGGGTTTGTATGGCTTCAATGGCGGTTCGGTGGGGAGGTGATCGAAGATGGGTCGGAGATGTGGGTGGGGTGTTCTGGACAGAGAGATGGAGGGAGATAGGAGGAGAGAGAATGGGGAATATTTTTTTATTTTTTTTCTGTTTTTAAACATCTAATTTAATAATATTTTTAAAGAATTTTTATTATTTTTGTTTACACATCAACATCAAAGTGGGTACCACAATTGCCACATCACCAATTTAACAGAAAATCTAATGGTGAACTTGACAAACAGTGTAAATTGGCAGAATTTGAAAACTATGGGGTGTAAAATGATGAAATTAAAACTCGGTGACCCATATTAAGAATGACCCCATACCTTGAGGGGGACTTGTGATGTTAGTCCTATATCCATTTTTATAAGAGATATTGTAACAACCTGATCCTAAATTAACAGTTAAATATTAAATTATTCAAGAAAAATACAATTTTACCCCGGGAATATTTAAATGATTTTAGTGTTGACATTTTTATCCGATGAAGATTTTGGTGAAACTGTAACATCTCGATTCGAAAAAGTAATAAAATAATTAAAATAATAGGAAATAAATTTAAATGAGAAAATAAATTGAAATAAACAATAAAATGATTTGAATTAATTAAGGTTTTTGAAAATTAAAATATTATTTAATATTAAAAAAGGGACAAAAAGGTCATTTTAAGTTTGGGAAGGAATTTGGGAATTCCGATTGTACCGTTGCGTAGAGCACATCGAGATGAGTCCATAGACACGTGGTGGGCTCAAATCCGAGTTATAACGAGAGAGATACAATCAAATTTCATGTAGGGGCAAAATTGTAATTTTTTGATAATTGATTTTTTAAAACCCTTCTCTCTCTCTCTCTCTCTCTCTCTCTCTCTCTCGACCAGTTTTTGCAGCTGCTGCCTTCGGCCATTAGAGGCCACGACACCGGAGCCAAACGAATCGGCTTGGCCCCGCCGTCACACCCCAGCACCTTTCCCGTTGGAAAATCGAAGAAAATCACGCCGGTTTTGACAAAAACTTCCAGCTTCTCGTTCTCCCTCCTTCAGCCACTGTTTCCGGCGAGTGAGGTATGGTTTCTCACCTATTTTTCGAGCTCTAGCTGATGGAAGGGTAGGATTTGATCAATTTCTAGCCTAGATACCTCGATTTATAACTTAGGTTTTGGCCGGTTTTCAATTTGAAATTCCGGCCACTCAGGTCATTTTTCGGGGTAGGTCCAAGAACAAAAGTGACTCCAATCAATGTTCTGAACCTAGGGAATCTTGGCCCGCGGTTTGGAGCCGGAAATTTATCGAGGCAATCCAGCATTAAATCCTAAAATGATTCTTGTGTTGTCACGAGCGCGTAGGTGTGCTCGGATGTCAATTCGGATATCGTTTGAACCTCGAATGGATTACACATATTACACGTTATCCGGGTTCGATAGGTTTGAATCGTTGGATTGTCTCCAACTTATTATATGTTGATCTAGGTACTCCTAGGATCGTGTAGGTTTTCACGGATCGTGAACCGGAGCCCCGGATATTTCAATTCAATAATTCGAAGTTTAATTAAACAATAATCCTCCGATCGTGATCAATCTGACTGTTCGATTCGGACCAAAATTATAGATGTGCTTAATAAACCTTGTGGAACTCATAGGAACTTCTAGCTCGTAAAACGGAGGTCGTGGGCCTCACGGACCCGGATGACCGAGTTAGGGAGTTTGACCCTCGGTTGATCGTGAGTCTTCCGAGGTAGTCCCACCCCTCGAATACTGTTAGAATAACTGTATTGACGAGTCTTGACCGTTATTTGAGTTATGTTGATTTTATGGGTTTATGAGATTATTTAAATTATTTTATATTGTGGGGTTATCGGATGTTAACTATTATGTGAAGTTTTTGCAATATTTGAAACGATGGAATATATGATTTTGGGGATACTTGAATTGTTGGTTGTGGAAGCGAGTCATGGAACTCGACTATGATTATTAAGAAGTGGGTGGATATTCGTGGTTAAGTGTATTTCGTTTTCCAATTATGGCATGTTGTGCATATTGAGTTTTGGTTGAATTGAGGATATGGGGTAATGGCTACTATTTTTCATTAACTTACATTATTATGATTATAAATAAAATATACGGATTGAGTGGTGGTTAATTAAGTATTTATTTATTTAGTTATCTATTACTATTAAGTTTATTATTATAATATCAACATGGAATGGTTTGCTATTCATATTTCAACGGGATTAATAAGTTAATTAAATATCTAAGCGCATATTTGTATTCAATATATATACATACTCAGTAGTTGAAACAGTTTTGTCATTTATGATAATGCCCACGAGTTTCGGGGACGCCTGAACCGTGTAGTGCGAGGATATGCGTTCTCGGGCTAACTACATGTCCCCCGAGTTCTGCGAGGAATGCGGCTCAGGTTGACTAATGGTCCCCTGAGTCTTGTGAGGAAGGCGGCTCGGGTTGACTTTGTGTTCCTGAGGCCTGTGAGGAATGTGGCTCGGATTGACTTTGTATTTTCGAGGCCCGCGAGGATATAACAGACAGAATATTTGGAATTGAAGGAATATTCTCGAAATTGATGGAATAGTTAAGGAAAGTATTATATAAATCGATTTATGAATTAGAGGAAGTTCAGTAAGTGACTTATTTATGTTCTGAGTATGAACTGGTTTGAGAATTGGGAAAGTTGGAAAGTGTACTCTAGAGTTTGTGAATAAGATTGAGCATATCACTAATATGAGAACTCGGATTGATTTGTAATCACAATGGAAATAATAAATGACGTGATATACAAGGGCAATAGTAAAAGAGGAAGAACTACGTGTGGCTTGATCCCTTATTATGGGTACGTAGGTAGCCTAGGGTCCCACCCAGGTGCAGCCGCCAACAAAAGATATTTAGGGAACTTTAATTTAGTCGTTGGTTGTTAAGTGTGGTTGTGGTCAAGACATTTTTGAAACCCGTTTTGGATTGTTGTATGATTTGGGGGCCGAGTGCTTAAAGTACTTGTGATTGTGTTGGGTTGTTAAACATCATACGATGGAAATTGAAAAGTTATTTTATGTTAACTATAGTGGATATGCATGATTTAGTTTGAGTTCATTGTTTGCTCTGTTAAATATTATTATCTGATTTAAAAGTATTACTGGTGGTTTTGTTTAGAATTATTGAAGGCCAGAGGCCTAGTTGTAAAATGCTTGAAGGTTAACTTGTGCATGCTGTCAGTTGTGGATATTAATTGTATTTTAACAAGTTGAAATTTTTTGGGAAAAGTCCAAGTTACAGGGGAGACTCTGCCGAATTTTTGGTAGAAGTCAAACCTTAAAAGAATCTGTGGTTTTTTATTAGAAGGGCATTTTGGTCAAGTGTACTTGGCACCCGCCAGGTGTCGGACATGCACAGAGTCCAGTGCAGATTCAAATTGGAATTTGGGTCGGGTCATGTCAGATATTCATTAAGACAATTGGGTTAACTGTCGATTTACCCGCTGAACTTGTACGCTACTTTCAATTTTCACCCACAACTTTTTTTTTGGAAAATTAAGTACACGAATTAATTTTTATTGCCAATTCCCCCTTACCGTCTAAATCAACAACATGTCATCCAATAATCCGTCAAATTATTAAAAAATATATTTTTTGAAAAAATTAAAGAAAAAAAGCCAAAAAAAAAATCCTATGGACCCACCCCCCCATCATAACCCGATTCCCCCATGACCACCATTCATTAAATATGAGGGCAAATTGGACATTTTATATGTTGAGATAATATAAAATTAAATTAAAAAGTTATTTTAATAAACAGAGGGGCCCATTTCATCTCTAAGACATTTTGAAAAAATATGGTATAATTGTCTTGGGTTAACTGTCAATTTACCCCCCCGGAAATTGTACACTACTTTTAATTTGCACCCTCAATTTTTTTTTTTTTGGAAAATTAAGTATACGAATTAATTTTTATTGCCAATTCCCCCTACTGTCTAAATCAACAACATGTCATCCAATAATTCGTCAAATTATTAAAAAAAAATACATTTCTTTTGAAAAACTTAAAGAAAAAAAACAAAAGGAAAAAAGAAAAAAAATTATCCTATGGACCCACCACCTCATCCCCCGCCCCTCCCCCCTCCCCGGTTTTCTTCTCCTCCCCATGACCACCACCCTTCACTCCAGACCAAAACCCCCACCTGTCTCCCTTTTGTTTTTTTAGATATTTATAACAATACCCAATCCTAGACATGTATTTATACAAATACCCAAGCACTATTTAAACATAGAAACATACCCAAAATGGGTTTTGGGTATGTGTGTAATGATGGGTTTTGGGTATGTTTATAAATGGGTTTTGAGTGTGTGTAATGATGAGTTTTGGGTATGTTTATAAAGTGTTTTGGGTGTTGGGTATTTTTATAATTTCAGCCCCCATTTTGGATATTTTAGTGAAACTCCCTTGTTTTTTTACCCCCAGACCATTCACCCATCCCCATCCTAACCCGATTCCCCCATGACCACCATTCGTTAAATATGAGGGCAAATTGGTCATTTTATATGTTGAAATAATATAAAATTAAATTAAAAAATTATTTTAATAAACAGAGACATTTTGAAAAAATATGGTATAATTGTCTTGGGTTAACTATCAATTGTACACTACTTTTAATTTGCACCCTCAATTTCAAGACATGGCAATCGTGTCGTGTTGGCAATATTCGTGTTGTGT